TAAAGATGTTTTCATTTTGATATTTTGGGTCTTCTTGCTAGAGTCAATAGATTTTAGGATAAATTATGTCATATATCAGTGTATCCTTTAATCGTTAAACTTTAATTTTTTTTATTTTTAACACTTAATTTTAATTTTGATTTTAATTATGTCATATTTTTTAAAAAATTTAATAGCAGGATGACGTTGACAAATCTTTATATCAATGTGATAACTTGGACAAAACGATGTCGTTTTAACAATAACTATTGATGCCTAAAACAACATCGTATTGACGACAACTATTGATGCTCAAAAAGACATTATTTTAGACATTAAATTTTAGGTGCGTATTAATTTTGACACTAAACTTTTAAAGCATTGTTTTTGGCCCTACACTTTTTTTATTGTCATATGTAGTCAATCACTACATGTCATCAATCGCTTTTAATGACAATATTGATTCTAAAATGTTCGCATTTAACTTCTCTTTCTTCTCTTAATATTGATTTTCCATGAATCTCATTAAAAATTAATTTAAAACTTCGACATAATAATACTTTGATCTTTTATGATCAATGTCTGATAAAACTAGTTTTGAGGTATATTATTGATTTTCTCAAAATAATGCTTCTCACCATTTACAAAATCACATGGCATAAATTTCTAAATACAATTACACAGTCGAACCGGCAATCAAACATAATCACAAACAAATTATAAGACAACTAATAAATCAAGTAATTCAGTCAATAAATATAACAATGATTATACAGTCAACACGAACGGTAATACCCTCGACCACGGTCAGCTCGAACGGTAAGTTGACTCGAAGTAGAACATATGAAAATAATTTAAATAATTAATAAAATATTCTAAGGTTAATGGCATAACAAAGCGCACAAAAATTAATAAACTCGCTCACGGTCAACACGAACAACTCGAGTCAGTTTGAAATTCACGGGTAACAGAGGCGGAGGCGGTAACTTGGTTCTCGATTTTGATTCAACTGCAAAGATTTCCGACGATCTAATCAATACTCAAATAACCCAAAATTTTAGATTAACTTTAACGATGACAGAAATTGATTTTTCAATTCAAAATGGGACTGACAGCGGGTATTTGGTTCGAATAAAATAATATGTCAGTACGAAAAATAGGGGTTGCCGACGACAGGGTGCACCGAAAATAGTCTCAGAGAGCCAAAGGTTCCACGTTCGACCCTCCCATGGCCTTAGACAGCCTACGGCGGCACTGACGGACATAGTTTAAAATAGTGAGATGAAATCGCAATAGCTTCCGTTTGCGGTAGCGTTACCGTCCGAAACCGAAATCCGAGAAAATAATGGTGGGCACCAGATTCACGCCAAAATTAGTCGATCGTGTCCGTAATCTAATGAGTAATGGTGAATAGTATCGATAACAGGACGCTATTACTATTATCTATCTGAATCAAAAGTTTTTTTAAAAGAAAAGATGAAAGGTTCTGGGGAGGGGGAGTTGAGAGAATGGAGAGAGCTTTGCAGAGAGTTTTACAGTGAGATTGGAGAGAGCTTTACCGTGAGACTGGAGAGAGCTTCGCCGTGGGAGGGGAGTTGAGAGACCAGAGAGAGTTTGCCGGAGGAAGAGACTGGAGCTTTGAAGTTTGGGAAGATACCGGAGGAGAAGATAAGAATTGAAGCAGACACAACATTATTTTTTTTTTAATTTTTTTCCTTCAATTTCTCTCTTCCCCAGCTTATGTTATGAAAACGGGTAAAATTACCAAAGAAATCTTTCACTAAGTGGAAGATTATATTATGGTCCTTTTACTAAAAAAATAGTAAAGCAAGCTTTTTAATGAATTTATTACATTTAAATTTAAATTTTTTAAAGACCTCCTGCATTTCTCTACCGGTTTAATTTAGTCATGATTTCAGTAATATAAATTTTTTATATTTAAATTTTAAATTTTATTTTAATTATATTTAATTTAATTATTTTGTGTTCTTTAAATTTATTCAAATTTCATTCAATTTGGTAAAGAATTTCTTATCTCATAGTTATATCAAGATTTATTTTTATCCATTTTAATTTCTTAGGATTTTCCTATATTGATAGTATTATTTCTTTTAAATAATAATGTATTCAAAATCTCATCGTTAATTAATTATCTTATCCTATCATCAGATTTTTTAAAGTCTTCTATTTGAGATATATGTCATTTTTGCTTATAAAACATTCTAAAAATCATTAAAAGTGATTCTTTATAATTATAATTATTTTTATTATGTTTTAAGATAAGTTGTGCAAAAATTTAAAAAAAAATCACGATTGCAAAATCCGCAGTGACCGCGATGGCATCCGTTATCTCCGCAATCGCGATAAATGTGACGCGACCGAAAACGTGATCGTAAATGCTATTTAAATCCCTGCTGACGGGTGGAAGTAGAGGCGGAAAAAACTTTACAGGGCCGAAGGAAGGGTTTCACGGCCAACCAAAGATTGTTCGAGCGTGGCCTAGGCCGGTCAAACCTTCCCAGTGAAGACCCGATCGCAAAGAGGCCACCAACGACCTGAACTGGCAGCAACAATGAGGTTTCACAACCCCTAGCTCGCAGGTTCGACAAGGAATTAGCACGAGGTTCGATGAGGGAACCTAAGCGATGATCGGTGACTTACCTATGACCGACGAGTGGTACAATAGAAGTGGAAAACATAGTACGATGGTGAGAAAGAGAGGGGAGCAATGCTAGGGTCTGGGGAAAAGGGAGGCAGCTTCGCGAGATATAAGGTGCGTTTGGTTCACGAAATGTAAGATTACCAGTGGAAATAAAAGATTACCAGGGAATAGGATTACTGGGAATGTTGTATTTTGTGTTTGGTTGGTTTAGCAGGAATGTAAGATTAATGTGTTTGGTTAAAGGAATAAAAGATTGTTAGAATGTATATTTGACCAAATTGTCCTTATTATATATTTGTTTTTTAACAAGTTGGAAAATATTTATATATTTTCTTTAAAAATTTAAATTCATAAAATTTATATAATTTTTTTTACAAAATTAAAAATATAAAAAGGTTTAATGAAAGGGTAAAATTTTATTTTAACCCCTGAACTTCATATAAAATTTTAATTATATATATTTTTTTGTAAATCTAAAATAGTTTAAGGATAAATTTGTAATTTAACCTTCGTAGAATTTTTATTATTCAATGACAGAATAAGGATATTTTTGAAAGAAAAAAAATTTAAGGGCATTTTAGTCCAAAATACCGGTAATCCAATAATACCTAAGGAAATGAGGTAATGACATTCCCGATAATATACCCCAAAAAATCTACTATTGGTAATGTAAGATTATCGAGAATGACATTCCCGACCAACCAAACGGAGGAATGTGGATTCCATTCCCATGGGAATCTCACATTCCCCCAACCAAACACACCCTAAAAGTCGCTGGTGGGAATTTTGATTTAGAGAAAAATTAGGTTAATCATGTGTTAGACTATTGAACTTCTTAGGGTTTACAAAATTGGCTCTTGAGTTTCCAAAATTTGTAATTAGTGTTTAATTTAGAATTAGGAATTTAGGTTAAAATTTTCTAAATTTTAGGGTTTTTAATTTGGGGAAAATTGTAGGTGTTACATTATTCATACATGAGATGGTATGACTCGTCTTTTTCTTGACACGTTTTTCTATGCAGCAAGAGCGAGTGAATTAAGAAGGAAAATCGTAGGAATACAACAAGCAAATGAAGAATTGTTATATGACAACTAAGAACGATTCAAGAAATTTTGTGTTAGCTGTCTACAACATGGACTACCGGAGCAAACATTTCTCTAATACTTTTACGAAGGACTAATTCCCTTCAAGATGACACCGAAGCTCGCTTTCAAGAGCTCAAAAAACAAATAACTCAACTGGCTCAAATCGTGGGAAGCATGGAATTGCAAGGAAAACTACCATCTCAGACAGAGGTAAACCCACGAGAAAACGTTAGTGCCATCACCCTTCGGAGTGGTACCATGATCGTGCCAATCCCTAAAGAGCATATCGCATAGTCCAGTAAAGAAAAAGAAAAAAAGAACCAAGATCCTAGAGAAAACAAGAAGAATGTTCTATAAAAAAATACATCGGTGAGGCTCACACCGATGATTTGAGGGAGCATTTTTTGCACTTAATCTAAGAGGACCGGTTAGTGATGGAATATGAGTGTGAGTTCCTCAGACTGAGTAGGTATACGCCAGAGCTGATCTCTTCATAAGAGAACCACTGCTGTAGGTTTAGGGAGGGCTTACACCTCGATATAATGTTTTATCTCACAACTGACCCTCCTAGGGTTTTTACCGAGTTACCCCGCTAGGGAAATACGGTTGAGAGGGTTCTTAGTAGGAGGTCCAAGCAGACCAGTGAGATTGTAGGGCAGACTAAAAAAACCCTCGAGCCAGCGTGATCTAGGAAATCCAGTTGGTAAAATAGGTAAGCAAAATAGGGTTTCATAGCTCAGCAACGACGACGATGTATACCATTAAACTCAAAAATGCTTCTCAGCCGGCCGATGGACATGCAATGACGCTGCTGAAAAAATGGTGATAAAGCTATGATGGTGAAGGAGAATATCCCCAAGAAAGAGAAAGATAAATAATCAACGAGCCATGTAACGGTTCACCGGTCATGTAAGCATTTAACATTACAATTTTACTTTTCAACACCCATAATAATGACTGTTAACATCGAGTAATCAATTTGTAACAAACGATAACGTTAGTGACCGATTTATGACTTTAGAAACATTAGTGGTAAAAATAAAAACTTACTCAAACAGTAGTGACCATTGATGTAGTTTACCCAAAATTTAACGATGAAGATTGATTAAAAAGCCGCCATGAATGCTTTTACTATGCTAAAGTTCATCCATTCTCCTGGGCGGGAATAAAGCCACCTCCATTTCAAAACCTAAATTAAATAATAATAAAAGACAAATGCCATAAAAGTATTTTGAATTTTTCTCGAACAGAAAAATCTTTTGATTTTTTTTTTCAGTTTGAGGCTTCCATCTCTTTCACATTCACAAATCACATGCTGTCATCTGTTTATTTTTCATATGAATTGGTAAAAAAAAAAGAAAAGAAAAAGAAAACCCAAAGATAAACAATAAAGCAAATACAAGGCCAACAAATAGAAACCCAAATTATCTGAAAATATTGATTATACGAGTGTTTTCTCTTACCTAATTATCTAAAGACATTCCACAGATTTTCTTGCAGAGTTTGTTTTAATGTTTTTTTAAAATCCTTAAAACTAGGATTTCAAATTGAACCCAACTTCTATTTCACATTGTTCCTTCCTAGTCTCTGGTTTAAGGTTCTTTTCTCACCTCCGGTCAAAGATAATAGATCCATGTCAGCTCAGCTGCTCCGATTACTTCAAGTTATTTTTTTTTCTTTATTTGACATTTCTGGTTGGTTTTATATATGGGTTTTATTGATTTATTTATTGAAATCTAAATAAGAGGCTCTTGAGCTCGTTAGCTTTGATGGGTGCATCACGTTTATTAGGATATTTTTTATTGGGTTTCCGATTTCTGGGTATTTTCCTTTTCAGCTACTGTTTCATTGATTGGATTTTATCTTTCATGGTAGTGGGTTTTTCTTGGTGATTCAAGTAGTTGGTTTTTGGTGATATTTGAGATACTATTTATGGAAATTAAGCAGTTACCTTCTTCTATTTTCAGCAAAATATTTATGAAAATTAAAACCCTTTGATGTTGTTGGGGTTGGACAGTTAGAGGTTTAGATTTGAAGCTAAGTTGAGAAAATGGATAAGCCAAGTTATGTTTTTATTGTTTCTTTTAATGCTTTAGATTGTTAAAAGTTCTGTTTTTTAAGGGTTTGCTCACTTTCTTTTATCCTATGTTGTCCTCATGATTCTTATCCTTTACAAGGATTTTCTGGTGTGTGTACGGTGGCATCTTGAACTAAGTTTTGCTTCTTTGGCTGTATGTACAGATGAGCAGTCTCTGATGAGATAATTGGTTCTGGATATTTGGAATTTACTATGGAAAAAAGGAAATGGTTGTGGAAGAGGAGGTCTTCCGAGAGAAGTCCTGGAGAGACTGAGAGTTCCGGATCGTTGTCATCGAAGTCCGAGAGATACTCCGATGATCAGGTAGCTCTTCGTGTGTAAATTAACTGTTGTTGGATCATTCATTCATGTATGTGTGTATATATATATAACTGTCAATCTCTGTTTCAACTATTTTTTCTACTGCAAGGCTTGGATAGTTGACAAATGCAATGCCTGCAGAGTGAATACACTTGCATTATCTTATCCTTTTCCAAGATTTTTTTTCTTCATATTATTAGTCAGCTGTCAGAATATGTAAGTTCAAGCATCAATGTTACCCAATTCTTCATTTTCCTTCAATATTCTTTTGAGATTTTCTTCAATGAGCTCGTGAGCAACTAAAACCGATATTATTTTTTCTTGTTTTATTTCTAGGGTGGAGTTAAATTGTGCTCAAGATTTCAGTTCAGCTAGTCATTTTCTGATTATTTGATTCAGAGTTCAGTCTCTTTTTTCCCAGTTTAAGATTGATTTTCATCTTGCTAATCGTTGAAGCAGGATCCTTCCAAGGTGTCTTCACCGCCGAATAATAACACACAATCGCCTGAAGTGTCGTCGAAGGCTTCACCCGATTCCAAAGAAGTTACTGACAGCATTAAGATCTTGACGGAGAAATTATCAGATGCACTAGTTAATATTAGTGCCAAAGAGGAATTGGTGAAGCAGCATTCAAAAGTTGCAGAAGAAGCTATCGCGGGTATAACCTATGGTTACATGCTAGTAATCATGTTCTAAGATGATTTATTCATTTTTGTTGTGTTGCTGGTCGTCTACTTTATATCTATGTTACTTGAACTAAAGAATGAGTGTTGGATACATATCTGTCTTCACGGGAATGATGAATCCCAACAACATACCTTACTATGGTCTACTTGGTTGTTTTGAACTTTAGGTTGGGAAACTTGCGAAAATGAAGTAGTGGTGTTGAGGCAAAAACTCGAGGCTGCAGTTCAGCAAAACTCGGCTTTAGAAGATCGTGTGAACCATCTTGATGGAGCTCTCAAGGAATGTGTAAGGCAGCTAAGACAAGCAAGAGAGGAGCAGGAGGAAAAGGTCCATGAAGCCATTGCGAAATCTGCCCAGGATTGGGAAACCACCAAATCTGAACTCGAAAGCAAGTTGCTTGAGCTCCAAGCTAAAGCTGAAGCTGTTAATTCTGAGCCCCCTCCAGAGTTCAATCTTGACCTTTGGCGAAAGATTGAAGCTTTGGAGAAGAAAAAAGCAGACCTCGAGCTTGAGCTCTCATCTCAATTGAAAGAGATGGAAATCAGAACAATTGAAAGGGACTTGAGCACCCAAGCAGCTGAAACAGCTAGCAAACAACACTTGGAGATTATTAAGAAGGTAGCAAAGCTCGAGGCCGAGTGTCGAAGACTCAAAACAATATCTGATAAATCTCTGAATGCCTCCTCAGTGTATGCCGAATCCCTTACTGATAGTCAATCAGACAGCGTAGAACAAGTTAATCTCGTGCAGATCAATACTCACAAGATAGCCGGCTTGGAGGCAAACAAAGAACCTGGTTCGTCTGATTCATGGGCATCAGCCTTAATTGCAGAACTTGATCAATTCAAAAATGAAAAGGCCATCAACCGAAACCTCCAGGGTTCTACCATTGAGATTGATCTCATGGATGATTTTCTCGAGATGGAACGACTTGCTGCATTGCCTGAAACCATGAGTGAAAACCATTGTCTTGAACCTAAAGCTATAGCGAAACAATCTAACAAAGATGGTGATAGCTTGATGAATCTTGAAGCCATGATTCATCGAACAGCGGAACTCGAAGAGAAGTTGGAGAAGATAGAAATTGAGAAGGCTGAATTACAAATTGCTCTTGCCAAAAGCCATGAATGTCTAGAAGCATCGGAGCTGCAAATGAGGGACACAGAAACAAAATTGGGGGACTTGCAAAGGGAGCTCTACAATGCAAATGATGCAAAGCAACAACTCGTGTCTCAACTCAGGAACATGAAAGCAGATGTAGAGACGATGTCAGCAAAGATTAACTCATTAGAAAATGAAATAAAAAAGGAAAGGGCTTTGTCCGCAGAGGTTTCAGTTAATGCAAATGAATCAAAGAAGATCTTGGAGTCTCAACTCATTAGCATCGAAGCAGATGCTCGAACAATGTCTGCAAAGATTGTTTTATTAGAAACAGAAGTTGAAAAGGAAAGAGCACTGTCGGCACAAATTACAGTCAAGTGTCAAGAACTGGAAGAAGAGCTGTCGAGGAAGAAACAGGAAGCTGAGCTACAGCAAAACCTTAACTTGAATGGTGAAGTGAAGATAAAACAGGTAACTCTTCTGTCTTCTCATTAATTATCGAATTACAATATAGTTTGAGAAGTATGGGATGTTTTATTTGATAATCACAAGACGCCATGGCAGGAGGATTTAGCTACTGCTGCTGGAAAACTTGCGGAGTGTCAAAAAACAATAGCATCTTTAGGAAAGAAACTGAAATCTCTTGCAACACTTGAAGACTTCTTAATCGACACCACCAGCGTACCCGAGTTCCCTACGGATGGATCATCGATTCCTAAAGCTGGTGGAGAGCCTTGGAATTTTCGTTCCAATGAAACATCTGCAGCCAAAAGAGATCCAGAGTCTCCAAGAGCTAGTGCTGATAAGGACAATGGAAACACACCAACATCTTCATCCCCGTCTTCATCGATCGTGTCATCAAATCATGTCGGCTCCGAGAAGAACAGAAATGGGTTTGCTAAATTTTTACACACGGAGTAAGAACGGGATACAACTAGAAATTTAAGGCGATTTATACAAGTTGTAAAATTGTTGTCATTTTAAAGACGGCGATTAAATGCTGTTTAATCACCGGTAATATCATTTAATCACTCTTAAATTGTCTCAATCTATACAATTCATGAATGGTTGTTGTATGCAAATTGAAATTTCAACATTCAAATGCTTTGGGTTCTTCAGCGGACATCATTTAATGAAAATGAATGCGTTTTGCTTTACTCTTTCCTGATAATCTTCGGCCATGTTAGCTTGAAAAGAATCAAAATAGCTCTGGAGGAAATGGCCGAGCATTAGTTGTAGAATTAGAATTAGAAACTTCCACAAATGAGATTAACAATTTATCACACGTGTCAACTCATTAATAAAATGTATAAAGTTCTTGTTGTATACATTTCTAAAGTCCGACCGACTTCCTGAAACACAGAAGAGGAGAGAGCGGATAGTTAACAAGATTTGAAAATAATAATAAAATTTACGTTGGGCTGAGAGAGGCTCGAACTCTCGACCTCTGGATAACTCACAAGCTATGAGACCTACGCGCTAGCAATCTGCGCCACCACCCCATATTGTTAAGCTTTCAGTAAATTTAATAATCAAAGTAAGATAAACAACTTAACAAGAGAAATGTTGAAATAAATTCAAGTAAAAGTATCCTTAATTCTAAGGAAATGAATTTGGTTGAATTCCAATTTTAAAACTAAAATTCAGTTCAAGATAAAAAAAATAAATTATTCAAATAAATTTATTTTTTATGTTAAACGGATTCATATACTTTCAACTCCAGTTATTTATGAGTTTAAATTAAAAAAATATATATATATATATATATATATATATATAACATAAGCAAATTAAATTTATGAAATTGATTAAATTAAACATTACAACTATAGTCATGACCCTCCAAAATGTTTGGATTTACTTAACTTTTATTTTTAAAAAAATTAAAGTTAAACAAATTATGTTTTTATTTCTTTTAAAATTTAAGATCCAATTGTTTTTATATTTTTTAAAATTTAAAATTGAATAAATTAAATCGTAATCCCCATTTTTATAGTACACTTGTTTTTTTTAGATTCGTTTAAGTTTAGAATGAAATAAATAAAAGTTTAGAGGCATATATGAGGGGGATTAATCATTGTATGGAATTATGGGTCTCCTAATCCACATCGATAGTGCGTAATATGTGAAGCTCGTAGAGGGGGGGGGGACCTGCCATTGCCAACAGTCCTTTTTTACTGATTCGTTCTAATCTATAGCTAACATGGCTCCTGGATGAATTTCACTTTGCCTCTGCACTTTCAGTTACATCCATACGATGTTCTCCTGCAAAACTTGTTCTATTGCAACAAGATGATCATGCTCCTATTTACCCTACTGCCTTAGGCTAATATATATATATATATATTACAATTATATGTTTTAATTTTTAATTAATAATTTAACAATTAAATTTTAATCAATATTTTTTTTCTATTTACCCCTCAGAGTTTATGCTGACTCGTTGCGTGAGTGATTATAACATTTTTATATGCCGCTTGCTTAGGCTTGACTCTCAGACCATCCGATTTGGCAAGAATCGACCCCCTGCCCCCACAATACACCAAAGACAGACCATCAAAGCATGTGGATACCGACATTCCACGTGTACGAGAACCATGTCCACATTTTCCCACGTGGCATCCATGGGAGGCATGTCAAGATCGCGCGCAACACCAACCTCTTATCCCGCTTACACTTCCCTCTTACCCCCCCGGCATCTTTGAAACGCCATGATCGCCATAGCTACTTCTGGTGCTTTGTCGTTGCCAATCTCTCTATGCAGATCATGCAAGGTTTCTAAAAAGGTACCTTCTTTTTTCTGCTTCTTTATTGGATTACTTTACCTGTGTCGTCCTTCAAATTTTAAGGAAAAAAAAATTAGCTTTCACAGTGCTTGACTTGTCATTGTTTGGTGGCTATGAGGTTAAAAAGTTTGGGTTTTGATTTATTTTTAAGCTAAAAGTAACTGGGTTAGTCCTTATTCTAAATTTTCTTAAACTTGTGTGATCCTTACGTATGTTGCATTTTGTATGAGTTTATATGGTCATTTCACTTGCATTCATTAATGGAGAAGAAACTTATTTATGCTAAGTATATGTGTAATATTCTGCTTAACATATTTGGACATTCTTTAACTTAATAGTTCAAATGATTTTGTTGATCTGTTTTTTCAACTTTGTAAAACATTGTTCATTGTTTGATTGTCCTACTTGAGTAATTTAGGGTTACTGCAAAATTATGGTCAGTTTATGCATGGCTTATATTTCGGCATTGGTGCTACTTCAGGGAGTTAAAGGAGGGTTTGGGGTGTTTGCCGTGTTTGGGGAGGAGAATAGCTTGGGGCCATGGGATAAGAAGAGCTCGTGGGGCACGCTGTTCGATGTAGAGGATCCGAGGTCTAAAGTCCCACAATGTAAAGGGAAGTTCTTAGACGTATATCAGGCATTGTAATTGGCTAAATATGATATTCAATACTGTGATTGGCGGGCTCGGCAGGATTTGCTTACAATCATGCTTCTCCATGAGAAGGTCTTCTTAAATCTCAACCCCATATTCTTCTTGCAGATCACTGTGTTTTGAACTTTTGGTTTTGTTTTTAGTTGTTTTTGACAAGAAAAACTACGTTTTATTATGTTTTTACTGTTTACCTATTAACACTTTTGCAATTTAATCTTGTGGGAAGTTTTTGTTGGTTACATCTTCGTAGTTATGGTTTTAGGTAGTGGAAGTGTTGAATCCGTTAGCTTGGGAATACAAGTCTATTGGCAGCATGAAAAAAGAACTCGCGGAGTTGCAAGGAGAACTAGCACAGGCTCACAAGCAGGTGGACAAAATTAGCATTTAAATGTTAATGAAACTATGATTCTTATAATCTGATTAGAATATGTATGCCTCAACAAGATATATAAATAGATCAAACGGTTCCGGCTATCCAATTGATGAGATTTTACCGTTTCTTTTTCTACGGTTCAATCTAGGATTTGAATTAAATACCTTATGAATGCATTATTCATGACAAAAAAGGAAAAATTGTGTGAGGTCATGTCTTCGGTTTCATAGTCAAATTTGATTCTGACTCCAGAGATAACAGGTACATACATCAGAAGCAAGGGTTTCCGCTGCTTTGGATAAACTAGCATACCTGGAGAAATTGGTTAATGGTAAGCTGTTGGAAGATAAGACCAAAACAGAGTCCAGCGTAGCATCCCCTTCTTCAAGTACATCAACACAATCTCTGGATACGTTGAAGAGGAAGTCTCCCCGAAAAAGCTTGGATGTGTCAGGTCCGGTTCAACCATATCACCCCCGCTTGAAGAATTTCTGGTATCCTGTTGCTTTCTCCACTGATCTGAAGGATGACACAATGGTAAGCTGTAGTTTGGAACTATGATGTTGCTTATCATCTCAATACTGATCCGTTTATGTCATGTCACAGCATATTTGCATAAATCCTAGTTTTGAACAGGTTTATCGGGCCGGTCCTTTTATCTCATAGGTCTCGTTAACAGATGTTTTCTTGCTAATGTCTTGTTCTTTCTCACTTCAGATTCCAATTGATTGCTTTGAGGAGCCGTGGGTTCTTTTTCGAGGAAAAGATGGGAATCCAGGATGTGTCCAGAACACCTGTGTACAGAGAGCATGCCCTCTTCACCTTGGTTCAGTAAATGAGGGTCGTATCCAATGTCCCTGCCATGGTTAGTAAAATTTTAGCTCGCTATCGTTTTTTTTTTGTTTTGAAAAAGCGATACATATCAGGGAATGATCTGGGTTTGGCCTGGGGATGACCCACCGATGGAAACTCTTCCTTATTTATTACCTCCTCCTGGATTTGAAATTCATGCCGAGGTATGCTCTAGCTGTTTTCAAAGCCCATTCTGATTGCAAGTATCACGTGAACTTCGCTTAAATGGTAAAATCTCTACAATCTCATTCTCACCTCAATATTTTGGTTTGCTGATAATTGGCACAGATTGTCATTGAACTTCCGGTTGAACATGGGTTACTGTTGGATAACCATTTGGATCTTGCCCATGCGCCTTTTACACACACGTCCACTTTTGCCAAGGGATGGACTGTCCCCAGGTTTGTTTCTGCATTTAATTTAGCAAATATGTTTATAATCTTTTATATTCTGGTGTGGAGGCAAAAAAAAGAAAAAAAACACACTTCTGTGTTAGTTTTTGGCACAACTAACAAATGATAGTTTGGATGATATATTTTTTTTAAAATGACTTGGAAAGGAAAAAAATCACAATGATAAGATGCTAAGAGTGCGTTGTAGGTATCTATCTTGAATATGTAATCTGACCGTGCATTATCCAAAAATCTCAGTCTGATGAAGTTTTTGACGCTTGCATCTGGTCTCCAAGGGTACTGGGTCCCTTATCCCATTCACATGGAATTCCGACCACCTTGTATGGTGCTATCGACTATTGGCATATCAAAGCCTGGGAAATTGGAAGAACAGAGTACCAAAGAATGCGCAACTCACCTTCACCAGCTTCATGTTTGCTTACCGTCATCGAGAAATAAGACGAGACTATTATATAGAATGTCACTAGATTTTGCTCCCGTGTTGAAGCACATTCCTTTTATACACTATTTATGGAGGCATTTTGCGGAACAGGTAAAATGATATCCTACTTTTATGTTCCTTGTATGGTGGGTTGGTGAACAAATTAAGTACTTTCTGAACACGTTCTTGAAATTCTCACTTGTATGTCCGGATGAGTTGCTGAACAGATTGGTGGTAGTGTTCGATAGGCTGATAACTAATAATGCATAAGATTTTTGTTAGCAAGTGCTTACAAGAAGTATGCAACAATGTCGCCTTTAATCGCTGCTCCTACAAGTGTTATTAATTTATTTAATGCGTAACTAATACAGGTCTTGAATGAGGATCTGAGACTTGTGATCGGCCAGCAAGAACGATTAATGGGGCAAATGTCTGGAATTGGCCGGTAGCCTATGATAAGCTAGGAGTGAGGTACAGATTATGGAGAAATGGTGTTGAACAGGGATCTAAACAGTTACCCTTCAGCAAACCGATGTAAGTTCCGACCCTAGCAACCATTTTAATATCCCTTCTCACATCATCGCCTATCAGGGCGACTCTCGAACATATTATTAAGGTTTGGCATTCGCACACTGAAGGGGAAAGGAGATTATGCGGAAACTGTGAATTGATCTGAGACCGGTACGAGTTGTTGTTAACAAGCAAACCGCACACCGATTTGTTATAGATATTCATAGTATTTTTAACTTTTAACTTATTTTGTTACCGTTAGAATGTCTAAGATCACATCAGCTAAACTCCAGTAACATTTGAGACGTAACCAAATATGTTAATAAGATTCACAACATTTATTATTTATAACTTATTTTATTATTGTTTATAACATTCTAGGTACAACTTGTTATGTTACTACAATTGATGATTTTTGTGTCTGTGAATCTAAATTTTTAAAATTAATATTTTCTTTACCGCATTTTACATATAAAGGTAACATTTTTATTTACAACCATTATTATTATTATTATCAATACATATAACTTTTTTTAATTCATATTTATAACCTTGTCTATTTCACTCCCGACTTGTCCCTTTTTTAAAAGTTCATGCAATGTTATTTTAACCGCCTCACATAATTGCTTCCCCTAGGATCTTCTGTTTGAGCTCAGAAATTACAATCTATATATTAACTCTTCATTTTCTCTTTCGATTTCCCTTCCTGTTTTCTCATTGGTTCTCTATCTATTCCAATCAGATCAGATAAGGCAAGATTTTAGTACCCAATTCATCTGTTTCTACTTTTGTCTTCTTTTCATTTTTTTCCGGTAAAGGTTCGGATTTCATTTCTGTTTCTCTAATAACATTTTAGAAAAAAAGGCAATTCAAATTTCAATTTTTCATGTTCTTAATTTATTAATTATCAACTTATCGTGTACCCAGTTTCTTGTTTTACCTGATTTGTGTTTTTAATTATGTATTCCACTATTGTAAACACTCCATATACGGTTCCTCCGGTTAAAGGTTTCGAGACTCAAAACTATGTTGGCCTTAGACCAATCTCTAGTTTAAGGTTCAATCCGGGTAGAACTCCAACCTCTGGACGTTGCCGGCCCCTTTTTGTGGTGAGAGCGTGCGAAAGGTTTGATGGACATGTGAAAAAGGCCGAAATGAGTATTGAAGAATCTGACACTGCTGTTGTAGCTGGGAATGAGCCTGAAGCTCCTCCGGTGCCCATTAAGCCAGCTGCTCCTGCAGGGACTCCTGTGATTCAACCTTACGTGAGTCTTTTAAATGAAATGAAAATGCTTTTTTATCTTCTGCCCTTTTTTACTCTACTTGCTTATTAATTCGTATGCAAGTAGGGGGTAATGTGATTGTGACAAATGTGACATTGATTGTGTTTGAGTAGTTTTGAAATGTCTTCAGCAGGCCTTTGGTCTTTTGAATGGTGATTGTTTTAGAATTACAAGTGTGTGTTTGAAACTTCACAGATTTGGTTTTCTTGTTTTGTGAATTGGATTTAATCGATAATTATTTGCTGGCCACATCTCATCTATTCATGACACTGAAATAAAACAACAATTCAAGTTATAATTATTGTTTTGAGGCCAACTGATGCACCTTTCCTTTCTCCTTTTCTCATTTGGTGTTTGTTTTTATCATCAACTTACCAGGCGCCCTCGACGTAACCGCAAGTCCCCTGTATTTAGAGCATCATTCCAGGAAACAAGTATATCTCCAGTAAATTTCGTATATCCACTTTTTATTCATGAAGGTTGGTATTCATTGAATTTGAATCTTTCCAGTTGTTGGTGAAAACTGGAACTAATAAGTTAAAATATTCAAAGAGGAGCAATCATATCAAAGATCACGATAAGCACCTTCAAATCATGAATATAAAGAACATTATATTCTCGCAGTTTTCTTGTTTATGACTTTTGTGGTTCTTTTTTCTCTTTCTTACCTTTCTGTATATGCTTACATCTAGTTTGGTATTGTTCCCTAACCTACAGGTCAGGAAGACACACCCATTGGAGCTATGCGAGGATGTTATAGGCTTGGATGGAGACATGGACTTATTGAAGAGGTGGTCTTTTTTATTATCCATCCTTCTCGTAAACAATTTGCATTCATCCCTCAAAACTAGTGCACAAGTGTTGTATGTCTTGTTTTAATGACATCAATTTCATGTAACTGTATGGTGATAAGCATTCCATTGATTATTTAAGTTATAAACATATACAAGCATGTCACATACATATTTTATGTGTCAGTTGCGAAGTTGTTTTGAAGAGTGCATTATTTGTTGCAGGTGGCAAAGGCCCGAGATGTTGGCGTTAATAGTATTGTGTTATTCGCCAAAGTTCCAGATGCTCTAAAGGTTTTGATTCTCCCGCTAGAATCCTATTTGTTTCATTTATTGACGTATGTAATTGTTTTTTTTTTTCTGGAGCATTTTAGTCTCCCACTGGAGATGAAGCCTACAATGACAATGGTTTAGTACCTCGCTCAATATGTCTGCTTAAGGACAAATTCCCTGACCTTATAAGTCAATGAAATTCATTCTCTGATTTTTATATTGTTTAGTGCCTGCAGCAACCTTATGTATTGTATCATGGTGATCACTTATTGCTTCATCAGGTTATCTATACGGATGTTGCTTTAGATTCATATTCCTCAGATGGGCATGATCGTATCGTTAGAGAAGATGGTAAGACAAGATATACTAAATTGGAGTATATTATGTAAAAGATGTTATCCAACTTCAGATGCAAAAAAGTCGAATTAATCAGTAAAGGGTTCAATGGAAGATACAAATATAGCCCCGAAGACCTGCATTCCTCTTCCTAATTTGTTCTTTGATCTGCCAAGTTGCCATACAAGTTAAAACAGCAATACATGTTTTCTTTACAAAAAAATGTTAAGAATTTCAAGTTTTCGTTATTAATAAAATTCTTAATTGGTTAAAATATAATGTTTACATGAATTTATTAAGTTCTGCATAGATATGTGCATGGAAGTATTGACTATTATGTCTTTCGTTTACCCTGTAGGAGTTATAATGAATGACGAGAATGCGCATCAATTATGCAAGCAGGTTGTGTCTCAGGTAATAGTTATAGATTTTTTGTTTTTGAAACATTATTTAACTTCGGTAGAAATCTAATGTATTCTTTAGAGTGCTAAATGCAATAATGGTGATGACTTACTGCCCTTGTGGTGCATTTGTTGTGGCCACTAGCCACTGATGGTGTCTCATGCAAAAAATTTCTGTGATATTTTTCGCTTTTGTGATTTTTTTCTCTCTTCCGTACTCTTCGTACATATCTAAGGCATAACTTTTATTAATACTGTAAATTGAGGAAATGGTGTAATACTTGGAGTTTGCTAATCATTTGAATAGATATTGTAGGTCTCTTAATACATCTTTTGTGTCCTGCTCTTTTTATGCTAGCTTTAACTTGATTTGATATGTTTTGATTTTTTGGGTGGTGTATTTCTTAAAGGCCCGAGCCGGAGCTGATGTTGTCAGTCCTATCGATATGATGGATGGGTGCGTCGGAACTATTCGTGCTGCCCTTGACTCTGAAGGCTTCCATCATGTTTCTGTCATGTCCTATACTGCAAAGTAATTTAACTATTCCCCTTGCACTCCTGCAGTTCTCTGTTTGTATCTATTACCAAAAGAAGGTTTCTTTGAAGTGTGGTAACAGATCTATGACGATGTTGAACCATTGGTGAGGTTTACTATCTTTTTTCTTCCCCTATCAAAAAAACAAAAATGATTTGAAGCAAGTCGAATGGTGTTATTTTGTTGGCTTGCACGAAGAAAATAGTCCTTTTCGTGTTGCTATCTAATTGCATAATTTATTATGGGTTATCTTATCCTGTGCTAGTTAACCATTTTGGACAAATAAATTATGTTGAGAACAAATATTCCAATTTATTCTTGGCTGCTTGGGTGAAATTTGTTGTAATTGTTTTTCATTCTTTTCCCTGGCATAACAGATAATCAAGTTCATTTTATGGTCCCTTCCGGGAAGCACTGGACTCAAATCCAAGATTTGGAGATAAAAAAACATATGATTTCACTTACATGCATTGTATTTTATACAATCTTTATGGGATTTTTTCATGGTTAAATTTGATTGTTAATCTGGTTTGTTAAAAACAGGTATCAAATGAACCCCGCAAATTACAGAGAGGCATTAGTCGAGGATCATGAAGATGAGGCTGAAGGAGCTGATATTCTTTTGGTAAGTATGGTTTTTTTACAGAACTTTGATTTCTTTTCATTAATCGCTAAGCTCCCATCATGTTGAAGTTTATCTGATTGGATCACAGGTCAAACCTGGTCTTCCTTATTTGGATATCATAAGACTTCTCAGGAACCATTCTCCTTTGCCTACTGCTGCATATCAGGTATTCTCTTTAACTTTTTCCGTGTCCTATGTTAACTAATGTTTCCTTTCTTTGCACTGCTTCACTTGGTTTCCGGCGAATACCCCATGATCAAGGCTGGTGGTGGTCTCAAAATGATTGATGAAGAAAGGGTAATGATGGAATCCTTGATGTGCCTCCTCCGGGCCGGTGCCGACACTATCCTTACATATTTCACACTACACGCTGCAAGGAGTTTATGTGGTGAGAAGAAGTGAACTTGGTCTGATTTTTCCTTTGGTTGATTCTGCAAGAAAAGCTCGAGGCTGTAAAATTTTTCCATTTGAGAATGCTAGATGTTAGAACGAGCCGTAGTTGTTATAGAACGGTTGGCTCGGCAGTTTGTAGTCCATGTCCCCGTAAATCTCGAGTAAATAAGAACAGAATGTTGTCGTTATATGTCGAATCTAAAATAATGTGAATTTTCAAATGAGAGTATTATGTGTTCTGTTTTTGGAACAATGTGAGAAGGAATGTATGTTAAGATTTCTTTTTTCATGATTGTTGAAACAATGTTCAGTTCGATGTTCTTAGTAGAAAAGGTGAAATGCAGAGTACAATTACTTGGAACACTCGATAATGTTTTACAATTTACAACAACTACATTCAAACAACAGAGCCATATCCTCTGCCTAATATCAACATGTAAACTGCCAAAGTGAAAAATCTTGCCCTTTTACCTTAACACATCACATTGCAAATTCTCTAGATTAATCCCTGCCAAAGTTGATTTACAATTTATTTCCGTCAAAAGGGCAACTTTTAACCATGTTCATTGAGGTACCTTTCTGCAATACTTGCATGAACGGCTGCACCGATGGGAAGAACATCTTCGTCGATCATAAAATACGGCGAGTGACCGGTGTGTATAGACCCCAAGGTTTCGTTCCTTACCCCGATGTAGTAGAAAGCTGCCGGAACGATCTGAGTATAAAAAGAGAAGTCCTCGGCGCCCATCATCGGTGGAACCACCCTGAAATTTTGTGGTCCTAGTAAATCAGTGGCAACCTTTTTAACATGTTCATACATACGGTCATCATTGACTGTTGGTGGGTAGATTGTTGAGTCATTTTCGAAGAAATCGACCGTTGCAGAACATCTGAAAACACCGGCCTGTTCCACAACAACCTGGTTTTCGGTGTCGGAAAAGGGATTTTAGAAGTTGGGAAACACGGTTGAATTAGGCTTAGAATTTGAACTTAAAAAGCATGGGAGAAGACCTCTTGTATTCTTTGAAGGAGGTTGTAAAAGCTGGCATTGGAGAAAGCCCTGAAAGTGCCTCCAATTATAACCGTGTCGGGGATCATATTAAGATTGCTGCCTCCATTGAAGGAGGTGACAGACACGACCTGCATTACAATATTAAAATTTCAAAGAGTTGTAGAAATCTTACAACTTTTTAAAAAACGAACAACAACAGAAACAAAGATGAAACCTGGGAGTCCAATGGATTTGATTCACGAGAAACGATTCCCTGCAAGCTAATTACGGCAGCTGAAGCAGCTAAGATGGGGTCAACTGAGTGGTGAGGGTTGCTGGCGAGGCCTTTTCTTCCGCTGATAACGGCTCTAAAGAAGCCACAACCGGCGAGCAGTGGACCAGTCCTTGAGCCAATAGTAGCAGTGGGGTGCTCATGAGAGACATGGACTGCGAAAATGGCCTCGACGTTTTCTAACGCACCGTCGCCAATCATCCGTTTAGCACCATTTCCGGCTTCCTCAGCTGGCTGAAACAACAGTATAACAGTTCCCTGTGACACACAATGAAGTACGGAATGGACACATCATTCATAACTTTCTCATTGCTTCGATACCAACACTGAACAGTTGCAACTTTTTCAATCTAAAGAAATGTTTATATTTTATTAATTTCACTTGTGAAATCTAAAACTTCAAATATATCAGAATAATAATCAAACTAGGGTTACTTCTCTCTCTAGAGACTTAAAATACTTGAACTCGCAGAGCAAGCATTAATTAATTTTGCACTATGTGATAACCGAGACTTAATTTTTAATACGTTAATTCTTCCTCTTCTTCAACATCAACACTACTTTCTGTTTTCTGAAGATTCGCCATCAAACAAAGTGGAAAAGTAACCTAGACCCTTCATTATTAAAAGCTTCTGCCATTACTTTAAGCAAGGAATTATTCAATCCAAGGCTTTACAAACAAGGCAAAATAATTATAGTAATTCCACAATATAACAAGCTAGGGTCATATACTCATGTGCAATTATTGTATGTATTTCTCTACAAAAAAACATATTCAAAGATGGTAAATATACTTGAAATTCACAAGTCAAGCTAGTTTCCAAAAAGACCCTAAAGATTCTTATTTTAGAGAAGAAAAGTTGAGATTAGAAGATCAATGCACTAGTGACTAGCCTACTAGCTTTAAGTATTCCAATCTGATCAGTAGGAACAGATCCAAACTCAGCATTCAACAAAAAATGGGTCATTTTCAAAAACAGGTTCTAGGCTGAATGAGAATCGATTCAGAGTCATTTATCACTAGACCAGAAATTAATTTGCTTTGCTGTATCTTTTTCTTATTTTCGAAATGGAATGTGAATAACCAAAATGACAAGCAGCAAGAGATGAGTGAGAGCAAAAGTAAAGGACAAATTAATTAAGGCGGGTCAAATTCATTCCATAATGCAGCAAAAACTGACATTTATTGCCTGCACATGGCCCAGGTGGAGGCAAGGATTTCACCTTTTCAAACCAATCTTTTTACTCTCTCTCTCTACCATTGTTGGTCCACACAGATCAAACCCTTTATTATAAAAAGAAAAAGGCAGAGTCTCAATTTTTTATCATTTATATTATCGAAATTGTATTTTAAAAACTAAGGGAAAAATCTATGGAAGTTAAGGATTTACAACTTAAAGTTACTAGTTAATATTTTTTTAAATATATATTTAATATATTGATATGCAATTTTAGATATCATAAATGAAATAAATTAAAACATATAATTTTGATTTACTAATGATGTACAAAAACAACACACCATTATTTTTCACCTAAATTTATTGCATTTTAAGTTAGCCTTAATCAAGATCTAAAGTCTAAACCCAACAAAGAAATTACAAATGCATATCCATCCATTGCACCCGAGTGAATTTGTACATTAAGTAACTCACTGATGAGAGTTAAAAAGTAATTTTAAAAAAGGCCAAACCTTCAAGAGATGTTCTCGATTCTTCAATATTTTAGCAGCACCGACGAGCATGGCCACATGTGCATCGTGGCCACAGGCATGCATTTTCCCCGGAACTTTGCTTTTATGCTCCCATTCTACACCTTCCTAAAATAAAATCACCTCACTATAAGTGAAAAAATCCAAAAAAATTAATAAATCAAACTTGTCTAATACTCAAGTTTAAGATGAAGAATAGAAATTTAGTTTAATCATAGTTTTAAAAAATAAAAAATTTATAAGTAATAATATCAAATTTATTTTAAAAGTTGTCATCTTTATTATTATCTCAAGACAATCTACCTCGGGAATCGAACTTTTATAATATCCGTACTTATAACTAATGCACACCTTTTTTTTTTGTCCCTAACTTATTCATGCATAGAAACCAATGAAACCCTAAATTAAATTCATGTCCACTACAAAAAATACAAAAATAACTTAAATTTTCTTGTACTTAAAAAACCCCTAATATTCTCATCTTAGATCTAAAACATTTATTCATATCTATTCCTTTAAGTTTCCTCAAACGGGTAGTTTGATTCAAACTTTGTAACAAAAGTCAAAACCCTCAATATATCCAACCAAAAAAATCTAAAACATTGTAAAAAAAATCATGAACCGCCTCACCCATCTTGTTCTTACCCATAAAAGTATAAGCTACTTACCTTAACACATATGCACATATACTTTTGTAAATTAGTATATGAAAGTATATACGGCCGTATATACATATATATGCACACACCTATACTTATATGTATTATGTATACATATATAGTGGCAAAAAAAAAGAAAGAAAAAACTAGCTATTTACCTGTATAGGAAGAGCATCCATGTCAGCTCGGATGGCAACAAAGGGCGGGCCGCCTGTTCCAATCCAAGCCCGAATACCCGTTTTGGCTAAAGGGTATCGATAGTCAATCTCCATCCGGTCCAGTTCGGTTCGAATCAGCTTACTCGTTTCGTATTCTTCAAAAGCAAGCTCGGGGTTCTCATGTATCTTCCTCCTCAACCCTTTAATCCACTCTACGTTGTCGGGTTTCCGGGCCAGGCCCAGAACCGCTTCGGAGCAGGTCACGTCCCATATCTTACAGCTGGTGGGGGAGCCACGTGAACAAGACGACGACGTACGGTTCTTTCCGGCGTTTAGGGGAGCCTTTGGATTGATGGAAGCTATGGCGTCGAAAACGGCGGGGTATTCATTATTATTATCCGACGAAGGAGAAGAACAAGTAGGAGATATGGAGTTGACAAAAACGAGAAAACTATTTACAAAAAAGAGTGAAAATATTAAGCTTAAAAATAAAACATATTGGTTCAGAGGATTCATGTTTGGAGAGAAAGAAAAGAGAGGGTTAAGAGAGAAAATAAATGCAGAGGAAAGTTTGAAAAAAAAATAATTTGGAGAGAGAGAGAGTTAAAGCACGTGGTGATAAGGACGGGGAATTCGTCACGTGGGGGAATATGGCTGGGAAAATAAATAAATGAAATAAGGGCGTCAAAAAGCAGCTGTTATCGGTCCCACCATTTCGTGCAGCGGTTTGGATGAGACGGATTGGCACACTACCCACCGTTTGATTCTGATATTTACATATATAATTAATTGCTTATAATTTATTTATTTATTTTATGAGATTATCAGAGTGAATGCAGTTTACTATAATATATATTTAAATATTATTAATTATTTGATAATAAAATTTATATCTTTAATATAATAAGCTTTTAAATCTAAAATCTCAATGAATAATAATAAATTTTTAATCATTTAAACCTATTGATTCGTGCACGTATAATGACAATATTTATTTATATATTATAAAATTTTTCTTTAATTTAATTTATCTTATTTATAATGTTAATGTTTTAAAAAATAAATTTATTTTAAAAATATACTATCTCATTTTATTAAATTAATTGATAACTAAATTTAGATATGTAAATAAATTTTAATTCGGTTGATATCGTTACCTTCTAATAATATATAGGTTTGAACATGCTCTAATGCTCATTATCTTTTTTATTTAGGAATTTAGAGATATAATATAATTAAATTAATTTATTGATAAATGTAATATTTATTTATTTTTGATAATTTAATTTGTTTAATTAGAGTACAGTACCGCTGCTTAAATCATGATCAATTCCTTTGAAAAGTATGTTTAAGGATTTAAAGTGGGTTGTCTTTAGAAAGGAATTGGGTCATCTCATAATTGATGCTTTTCTTAGTGTTTATTTTCATTTAATATAAATATGTTGTTTCTTTCTTTATGGCTTGGGTTGGTTTTGGTTTTGGTTTTGGACTGACTCAACCAGCGTTAGGTAATTGAGGAACTGATCTATTTTGGATTTTATATTTGATTTTTTTAAATAGTAAGTAAAATAAGATAGAGATTTAAATTTTCTTAGAGATCTTATTATGTGCATTTTATTCCAAAAATCTTACATTACCTCTTATGACGTTGGATTTTGATATGAAAGATAATGCTATTTGAATCTTTAGATAATGTAGTATTAATAATTTAATTTTTAAGTGTATTATTGCTTTAATTTGTTCCTTCAAAATTGGAAGATTTTTAGTTCAGTTTTAATATAATTTGAATAATTTTTATTTAAATAAAAATATAAAACAATTCACCAAGTAGTCCTAGTGGTAAAAAATGTTATTCTTTCTACAGATTTTGCACTCGAATAATTATGTCTACAAAGTATGTGTACGTTATCAACTAGTTAAAAAGATTATGGACAAATATTACCTTATAATCACTATATATTATTAAAAAAATATAAAATATAAACTTTTTTAAAATTTAAAAATGAAAATAAAAACTTGAATAAGATTAGCTGGATTCAAGTCTAAACTTAGATTTCTTTTGAATCAAACTTCATCATAACTAGGGATGTTCATTCGGTTAAAACGGTGGCCGACCGAACCGAACTACCCTTAACCGAATTAACCGAACTTTTTTTTTCTTTAACCGTTAATCGAACCGAATTTTTTTTCAAACATATTAACCGAACCGAATTAATTTCGGTTAATTCGGTTAATTTTCGAATTAACCGATTTTTTTTAAAAATTTTCTAATTTATATAAAATTAAATATTTTTAATTCAAAAAAGTGTATAATTAATTTAAATAATATATAATTATAAAATAAAAATTTCAGATAAATTTTTTAATTAATTAATATTGATTTAGATTTAAAAGTTATTGGATCTTAAATTATTAATTGAGTTTTAAATTGTTTGGGCTTAGCCCAAATGTTATATATAATATATATAATATTTTTTAATTAAAAAAACAATTTACAATTAATTTAAATAATATAATTATAAAATAAAAAATTTATATATTTTTTAATTAATTAATATTGATTTAGGTTTAAAAGTTATTGGATCTTAAATTATTAATTGGGTTTTAAATGGTTTGGGCTAAGCCCATATGTTATATATATATTTAATATTTAAAATTTAATTTCGGTTAATTCGGTTAATTCGGTTAATTAACCGAATTCGAACCGAATTAACCGTTAACTGAATTCTAAATTTTTTTAACCTTTAACCGACCGAACTAATTCAGTAACCGAACCGAATTAACCAAACTAATTCGGTTCGATCGGTTAACCGAATTAGTTCGGTTATTTGAACACCCCTAATCATAACACGCTTTAAAGAAAAAAGTTGAGATATTAGAGTTTTAACTTTTAACTTTTGAGTATTCAAATTTGAGTCCCACATATCTAAATGGATAAATTATACATGAGTGAGTTAGGTCTCGTTTGGTATGTTTTTATAAACGAATTTTTAGCATAAAAAAGTTTGTTTTGACTCTAAAATCAATGTTAAACAGGTAAAAAAATTGTGATGAAAATAATAGTTTCAAACCAACCGCAAAAGTTAGGATTTGTAACTTTTTTATTTTTTAACTTTGTGTTCGGAAGAAAATTATAATTTTACCCTTACAAATGCATGGGCTCCACTCAATTATGCATTTACATTTTATTTTAATAATTTAATATTAACATCCTTAAAAAATAATTTATTACTTAGTATTTTAATTTAATTACTTAAAAGTAAATAAAATTCATGGTTTATATATTAAAATTTACTTTAATTTGTAAACACTAATTTTTTTATAATATTCTTTTTTCAAAACAAATATGTAAATTATTATTTCGTAATATTTTATCCACTTGTTAAAAAGTATTGATAATATATTTTTCTTAATAAAAATATTTTATTTATAAAAATATTATTAATAAGTTATCTTAAAATATTTTTTTATATTTTTATTATAGTTTAAGTTGATATATTCAATATATTATAGTATTAATAAGTGTAAAAATAATTTAAATTCTATATTTTTAATTTACAACATAACTTTTATGATGAAGATTTTATAATTTCAAACTCATTTTTAATAATAATCTCAAACAGTTAGATTTTAAACTTTACTTTTAAAAAATATTTTCTACAATACTTTTAAAAGTCATTTTTCAAAAGTACTGCCAAACTAACCTTAGTTAAATCGAGGTAGTTAAAGTTTAGTAAATTATTTAGTTTTGTGCTTGTAATTATTGAATGTGAAACCTTTATTGGGTTTAATTTTGTTATCAAATTTATTTTATTTATTTAATTAGGATAAATTATATATTAAGTACCTAAACTATTAGTTTTGGCCTATTTTAGTACCTAAACTTTTTTAAAAATTTATACTTAAAATATAGTTTTTGTTTAATTCTAGTATCTCGTTCAAAATTTAAAGTTAAATTTTGATTTTTTTTTGAAAGTTTAGGTACTAAAATGGATCAAAACTTATAGTTTAGGTACTAATAAACGCGTTAAGATTTTAAAGGTGGGGTACTAAAATGAAAAAAAAACTAAATGTTAAGTATGCTTTTTAAAAAATTTAAAATTTAGATACCAAAACAGATCAAAGATGATAGTTTAGGTACTAAATACATAGTTTTTCCTTTAATTTATTATCACTTAACGAAAATTATGATTATGCCATTAATTTTTCAAGGCACTAAGGTAACAACTCATGCGGCAATCAACTGGTATTATCAAAATACTTTTCAAAAAATGATTTATTATAAAACAAATGTAAGATTATATTGGTTTTTACGTTTTACATCAATAATAAAAAATAAACACACATAAATTACCACATATACTATTTTATTTGTATCAAAAATGTAAGATTGATTTGGGGTCTATTAAGGCAGTAACATGCACACCAAAAACTGCAAAGATACCTGAGATGACATCGACAGCCTCGCAATCCTCCTAAGCTCAGACTATGTACTAGCGGGAGGTAATCCTAGCCTCAAGACCGACTACGGATCTGGTGGTGCCTTTGCTATACTGTCTAGAGGCTAAACTACCTTCTCTCTAGAAGGATCCTTGACCCCTTTACCCAGTCGGAGTCAATCTCTGAACAGTCGATGGCGCTACACTCCATGCCTTAGGGTAGTCTCGACTAAGGTGCTCGAATGATCCATATTCGTAGCACGCTCTTGAAGCTCTATGGCACTCCCCTAATGTCTCCTACCATAGTACCTACAAGTTGGCGGTTGTATGGCCCTGGCAGAATCGATGGTGCTCGCTACAGATGCTAAAGCTTGTGGCCTCCTACGACCATCTAATCCTTGCCTACAAACCAGATCATGTCCCGACCTTTGGGACTAAGAAAATGGAGGACTCCATGACCCTTGGGAATCTTTGGCCCTCTTAACTGAAGTATGTGATGATTCAATAGTGTATAGGGTTCTACGGCTTTGTCCCACAATGTCATTAGAAAGACGAGTCCTTCTACTTAGGACATGTTCAATAGCATTAACCTGAAGGGTCAGCTCAACAAATACTTTAGGTGGATCGGCAGCTAGGTGAGTCAAGATGTCTATGTGAAGGCCCTCCCTAAACCTCTTGCAGCGGTTCTCCTTTTGTTGACACTAGCTCCAACTCATACCAGTTCAAGCGTAAAAACTCACTCTCATACTCATACACGGAGTGGTCACCCTGATTCAAATGCAAAAATCAGTCTCTCAGGTCGTCGTATGGGTCTCACTAGTTACTTCTCTAAATTATCCTTAGAGGTAAGATAAAGTTGTCATAAGGTATATAGGGTCTCGCGAATCCATTGGTCAACGACTACATGATCATTGTCACTGAAACCCATAAAGTCGGTGGTCTTGTAGTGGTAACGTTGGATTCCTGAGGGGCTACTAAGGGTGAAACAGGTAAAGCGGATACGACAGGTGTCCTAGGGATAACTTTAACAATGTGCCTCAGCGCATGCGTTAGGTTTATAAAAATATCACCTCGTCTATCCATGTTTCTTTCGGGATACATATATCCTCAGAGTTGAGGACGAACTCGTCACTATGTCTCCAGCTAGAGAGACACGACTCTCCTCATGGCTCTTCTGACTATGGGCAGGGTCATCAGCCATAACCTATGCGATTCCAAAGAGACAGAAGTCAGCATCGCCACTTCTAAACATTTAAGTACGCTTGACACCCTAGAGGCATGTACTTTATTGACACCAAATTACTCTGACCACGGGTCTTAGGAACGACTGAACCTAACGCTCTAATACCACTAAATGTAACACCCTAATCCGATCCGACCCGAATTTCAGATAATTAGAATATTACACGGAACTACCTAAGTGGCTAACTATTTTTGTTAAAACATTTAACCAAATTAATATTTAAACATAATATAAATACCAAAATATAATATATTTACAAAATATAAGTATCTAAAATATGGGGGAGCTCTCAACATCAGTCTCTAAAATACATGAGTACAAAATAGAGTCTATGAATCAAATAAATTATAGGGTCATTACAATATATGCCCTCTATAATATTCGAGAATACTATGATAAAAGATCAAGTTTGAAAGTCCTGAATCCGGCGACGAGCTTCTCGATTTGTACCTAAGAACCTGTGCACAGAAACACATTTCATACGTTGAGCTCACAAGCTCAATTCCACACAAATAACCCTACTTTACTACATGCATCCAACATAAAAGCATGCTACAAGTATGGTTATGAACATTTGCATACACTATCACAACAATAAAAGTAAGTATCATGGTATAGCTCGGGGTCACTTAGAATCACGAAACTCGCACCTCTCTTTGCTTACTAAAAAACCTTATGCGACACTTGGATCATATAGTATCAACGTCTCCCTATTATTTAAGCTAGGTCTAGGTCACACAGTATCGAAACCTCGCCCGACTAGTCTATTCCTCTAGAGTACTCAGTATATGGTCGGGTCACTTAGCATCGATGCAGCATCTAACTAGTATTTAAAGTGTTCAAACATTGATTTGGATATATCTGGATAATTCCTTACTCAATTATGCCAATGTCGTACACAAGTAACTTGGGTGTCCTTAGTATTACCCGAGTGTCAAATAAGGCATAAGTCTTATGGAATCTTATCTCAATAAGATCTTATATTATCACACAATACATTAAGGTTTCTACTTATAAGCTTATTAGAAGGTTTCCCTCACCAAACCCCTTGGTTTTGCCTCTCTCCTCCTTCGGTATCATTACTTTCATCCAATGGTATAGATAATTCCCCAAATATCTGTACTAAAATTATATTCGATTTTTTGGAAATTACCTTGGTATCGATACTCCTATTGGGAGAATTGATACTCTATCATCGATATCGATACTCCATTGATTATCGATACCAAAATAGCTTACTAGAATCTGATCAAGTCTCTGAGTATCGATACTAAGCCCTGAGTATCGATACCATGTAACATCCTCAATACCGGGTTAGTGATCAAATTGTAAAGTTTCAGAATTTGGTGACTAGAGTAGAACCATGGATTAGTTCAATGATTTATTGCAAATATATGATTAAGGTTATTTAGTAATTATGGAATGAATTAAAGGGTAAAATGGTTAATTGATAAGTAAAATTTTTATTATTCCTTTATAAGAAAAGGGAACCACGTGGAAAGGGAGAGATTTCTCTAGAGTTATCTTCTTCTCCTTTCTTCTTCTTCACGTGAAAGCCAAGAGCAAAGGTAAGTTTGATTTAGCTATTGATTTCTTGAATTTTTAAGTTGGATTTGAGTCTTTGGGGGTTATATAAGCTTAAGGAAAGCTTATATAAGTTTAAAACACCAAGAAGAGAGAATTAGAAAGGAATTTCTATTAAGAGTTTATAAATGAACTTTTATTATAAAAAGGTTTTTGAAGTTCTAAGGATGAATTTGACTTGTCAAGGGTCTAATTAAGAAGTTAGAAGCAATAGAATTGAATTTGGAACATGTTGAAAATTTAGGGTAATTCTTGAATTACATATGGAGAATAGGTTTTTGATGTTAAAAAGGTGATTAATGAATAGAAATGAGTTTGACTATGAGTATGTAAGTTAAGAATAAGAAAGGGGATGATATATGAAGTTATTAAGCTGAAAAGAGTGGATTTTCGGGCATAAAAATGAATTCTGGGCTATGTGCATTGATGCACATTCAATGTGTACCGATGAATCAAGTGTATTTCCAGAAATTGTTCAGTGTGTATCGATGCACAGGAAAGTGCATCGATGCATCCACTAAAAATGGAAACATCGAATGCAATTAGTGCATCGATGCATAAGGAGTGCGTCGATGCACCCCCTTAAAATGAAAACATCAAAGGTGATTTGTGTATCGATGCATGGGTAGTGCATCGATGCACATGTTAAGGGATGCATCGATACACTGTAGAATGCATCGATGCACTTCAAGGGGAAATTGAAATAGACATTTCTTTTGGTCTAAGAAATGATAGATTAGAGTATATCAATGGGATACTGATATGTATCAACGTATGATTATGTAGATATCAAACATGAACAAGTTCCAGAATTATTATCGAGTTAAGATTCGATCGAAAGAGAGGAAATCATAAAAGTGGATTGGAACTTAGTGAGGCCAATGTGAGTGTATCTTATTTTTATAAGATTATATGGAAATTGGACTTGTGATAAGTCTATTTCCTATAATAGCTCATTAAGTCTGATTATAAGTATGTTAACAATATGAAGTGTATGTATGTTTGATTATATGAATTGATATGTTTTTGTATGTGCTATGTGGTTTATGTAAAAGCACTACTAAGTGTTAATGAGAGAATATAAAATAAGTTATGAAATTATAGGAATATAGAAGATAAGTCAAGAGATGTATGGAAATGGAAATAGATGTTTATGAAGAGTCATAGGAGAACAAATATAAGTCATATGATAATGAATATAGACTATGTGAATACATGGTTATGAGATAAAATATGTAATAATAGGAAAATATGATGAAAGTGAGTTCATGAGAAGTGATAGGAACTAGGTAAACATGTGTAACAATATATGCATAATGGAAACATGAGTTGGACAAGTACATAGTGGTATGATCCATTATGAGAGTTAGTATAATAGAGCTTTTTGATTTAATGAGAGTTAAGGGAACTAAATAAGATTGAATTATAGAATGAAATGAGAATAGTATATCAATTAGGAAACTTGAATATAAAGGGATGATACAAATATATAAGATAAGTTATATGCTAAAGATCTATAGAGCTATATGAAAAGATTATAATGAATATATGAAATTGAATTAAGTAAATAGATTAAATTAATACATAAATAAAAGTACTATTAAATGATATATGTTTAGAAATACGACATAATTTATATAATCTAAGGGAATACAAAGAAATGGAGCATAAGGTAGATACTATGATATAAGTTATTATATACATATATGATATATGTTATCAAGTAATACAAAGGACTTTGGAAATTGATATAAGCTATATGAAAGTGTTCTATGTGTTATATGAAGTATATATGATCATATGTGAACAATATATGATATATATGTTTACATGAATACCTGAGAAATGATCTAAGTTATATGATATGATCTACGTGATTATATGCACTTTGGATATATGTTATATGACATGGATCTATGTGACTACGTGAGAAAGTATATAAGCTATGTGACATGTAAATGTGAATCATATGAAAATGTTATACTCGTAAGTGAACTATGCATATATATGAATATGTGAAATGACATAAATGATTATGCCCATGTTATGTGTCATGAGAGCTAGGGGTATAATTGGCATGCCAAGAGTCGAGGGTCTACGCGGTCCTTCGGGACATATATGTATTCTTTGGAACATGTGTGAGGTCTTTTGAGACACATACTTGATCCTTGGAATATGTATATGATTCTTAAGGAATTTTCTACGTGGTCCTTAGGGACAATCTTAT